GCCGCGCCGCTGGCGGGGCCTTCCCCGCCGCCGCCGCCGCCGGGAGGGGGGCGGACATCGCTTCCGCTTCCGCCTCTCCTCACCCCGGATTCGCCGGGGGGGGGAGGCCGGCCGCCATTTTTACTGAGGGCCCAAAGGGGCGGGGCGGCCGCCATCTTCAGCGAGGGCAGAGGAGGAGCGGGGAGAGGCGGCGCGGCTGGTCGTGAAATGGAGGCGGGCAATACCCCCGCGTCCCGGCCCGCTGCCCCTCGGCTGCGGGAAGAGGAGCTGGGTAAGTCACCCGGGGACGGGTCGCCACGGGTCTGCACACGCCTGTCCTGCTGTTCGGAGGGCGCAGCGGGACGCTGCGGGCCCCGTGAGGTGGAAGGCGTCCGAGCTTAGACAGGTGTCTGCCCCGTCCACCTGAATGATCAAGGCGGGCTCCGTGCCCTTCAGCGTTTTCACGAGGATCTACAACAAAGACAACGAAGCGTGACTTTGGATTCCTGCGTACTGTCAGCACCGTGGTTTAATCAGTCAGCTGAAATGACAAACGCTAAGTACTTTCAAGAGTTAAAAAGCACTGATAATTTACACATTTGATACGAGAGTGTAAGAAAATGAGAACAACCACAAACAATGAAATTCAATGACACTTCAACAAGCATTATAGAGAACACATTTGAGAATTACTACTTTGCTGTATTTTCTTACAATAATTGGCCAGATTTAAATTTTGTTTTGAAGTCAACAGAATCTTTCATATAAAAATGTTCTTTTGTTCAATAACAAACATGATCCAGGAAGCTGAAATACACGACACACATCTAGCCTGAAGGCTCAAAAGTCTGAAAAGCAGAGAATCAAATACAAATTACTTCCCAAAACCATCTCGTGATTTTGTATACCTTCCAGTTAGAATGCTGTTCCTGAAGTAGATTAACCTTGCAGGTAGCAGTGTAATGAACAATGAACAACTGAATTTGATATATATATTGAGTAGTGCCGAGAACAAAGCCCTGGCATACTTCTGATTACTACAGTTAATTTCTCTCATTCAAGACTGAGGTGAATTGCTTAAGCTATGGGGTTAAAGAAGACTGAAGTCCATGGCAGTATCAGACCAGCTGCATTCAGGTGCTCTCAGTTCACCTCAGTGCAGCGATGTCAGAGCACTGACATTCCACTTAACAGGCTTCACATAAATAAACCAAACTCTTTTCTTCCCTTTGATGGGAAAAACATACTGTTCTTGGCGTGTACAGTCATTCCTTTTGGCCTTCCAACTTCTAGACAGACTCCACCCATTACCTGTTTTTTCTACAACTTAGTATCTTTCTTGTTTTAGCATGCTAATCATGTGGAAGCCGATACCCTACTTGTGCTTCTGCCAAGGTAGAATATGCCAAGCTACTCCTGTACATTTCCATTTACTTTCTGACAGATAACTAAAATACTAACATTAGTCCCTTGTTTATAAAATCCAACCGAAGACAATGTATGTACTTCCCAATTAGACACCGTGGGGTGCATTTTATTTAGGAATGATTTAGGCTTCATAACATTTCTATGGGGTATTCTTTTCATTCCCAGTTTAGATTAGAAATAAATCAAAGATAGACCTGAAGTTATGCAGGAGTCAACAAGCAAGTTTTCTGTATCACAGGGCTCTCTGCTTTTACAGGAGAACACCTTTCCTGTATGAGACACAACAATGGTCTATACAAACATGCACGCTTCTTAAGCCCACTTTTTTTTTTTTTTTTTTTTTTAATGGCTTCTACTTCTTGTCAATGTCCTCTGGAGTGGCTTTCTTCCCAGAGCTCAACTGTGCCATTCCACCTGTATGCTGTCACTAAGAGCAGGGTTTTAAGAGAATCAGCATTCCACCCTCTCAGTTATACCCATATGAACAAAATTAGCTTTCCATATATAAAATAATACTGTTTAGTGTTTGTTAACTATATTATTGCTACCATTTTAAGCCAGCCAGGATGACTGTGTTCAAAATAGGAAATCAGCAATTCTACCACAGACATTGGTATTCTCTATACAACAGACTAATAAAATACAGTCAGGACACCATCAGGTTGCCCTTTTCAATGACTACACGAAAGATTTAGTAGTAAAACAGCATTTTGAAATGGTCTTGCCTCCTTCAAAGAAATAGACTCTAACTGGTTCATAGCAGACTTTCCAGAAATAATTCTCTAGAAATTATAACTTCCGTAAACTGATTATATTCAGCCAATTTTTATCCTTAGCTTTAAAAATCAAATGCAAAGACCCTTGCATGCCTTGAAGCTGACAACACCAAATCTCACTGATCAAGAAATGTTTTATACATTCATTTTATCTATACAAAGCTTGCATTAGACAATCTTGCATTACAAATTTACAACCGATGCAGAAAGAAATGTAAATTCCACCACTAATTTATGGGTAAATTCACCCTGATAACTAGCACAATCTAAATGACCTCACCCTTATTTTTATCTGTCCAAGTATCCACTCTGAAATACAGCTACAGAATGAATTGTAAAAATTCACTTCTAATGATTATAATGGCAGGACAGCACTATCTAATCTGAACAGATGCGTGAAACCATTTGAAAGTGATTAAAGTTAACAAAATTTTTGTACTGTACCAGTGTTTTAAGCCAGTATACAGAAGTTTAAAATGTACAGAATTAAAATAACGTTCCTCAAATTACCAGCGGTGGAAAGCTAATTATAAATATACATAATTATAATAATAGAATGATAGACTAACAGAGGCTTGCTCTAAATGAGGTTGGTGACATACATCATTTCAGCGAGAGCTAAATTGGGATTTAGATAAGAAAAATCATACTTGTACATTCTCAGCTGGATCACTTTCAAAATTCCCTTACAAATACTCCTTAAAACATGACCAAATTTACGCACAAGCAATGGGTGTCTCCTTGGTGCTTTAAAAGATAGGAAAAGGTAAATAAAGGAGACAAAAATCATGTGCAAGGTCTGTAGTAAGTGTGTGGAAGAGAGGGTTGTTGTTAGTCCCACAGACAGGAGTTGAAATTAAACACTGAACAAAGAAAGTGAACAATGAGGTCGGATAGGTACAGGACAATTTTAAAAGCTTATCAAGAGTATGAGGTGGGAAACGCAGGCCGATATGTGAATTTGGAGATGTCCATGCTTGGGAATTTTTGGAACACCCTTATCTTTGGCAGGCTAGTGCAATTTGCTAAACATCAGCACAAGTGACCTGCTGCCAGAGGGTAACATGAGCTGGATATGCAATTGAGATCAGTGTGGTGTTACTTAAGCATGGAACTCGATGTTAGCTTTCTCTTTATCCCTTTTTAAACTCCAGAGAGCTGGTCTTGTACATTAGATGTGAAAGTGCAGTATGACCATCAGAACTGCTATCACAACATGCAACTACTCCCACTGTCCCTCCCCCCAAAATCTGATCCATCACACTGTAAATGCGATTATTCCTACTGAAACTCCTAGGTAAGGAAATTCACAACACCAAGTTGTTGTACATGCTTTGCCGATATAAAGATGAAAACATTAAAATTGTACAATTGCTGTTAAAATTGTATTTAATATCACATTTCAGTGACTGGAAGTTAATTCCAATTCTAACAAATTGATTACAGGGAAAGAAAGTAATCATGCTGTCTCATGTATCTGAAGATGACTTAAAAGATCTTTTTCATTTCCAAACCTCATTAAACAATCAGTACATTTATGAGGCAAATCTGCTGAATGCCTGAAATCCAAGTGAGTTTTAAGGTCTTCAATCTGTCCTGTTGAATATTCACAGTATTGACACAAATAAATCCCTTCAGATAAATGAGAGCTTAAATGCTTGCAATATTCCAACATACCTGAAAAGCCCTTCCCACAGTCATCACAAACATGAGGGAATATTTTGGTGTGTTCAATAGCTACGTGCCTGTTGACATTTGTATGCAGCCTGCTCCTAAAGCCACACACTTGGCATACAAAGAAGTTTTTGCATTTGTCAAAACTGATTTTGTTTATGAGACTGTACTGTCCACGCTCCTTGTTATTATAGCTGTCACTTAACTCTATCAGTCGACATGCATGTTCATTCACCACGTGGCTATGCAGATCTTCTGGATCATTTGTTTCATGCTCACAGAACTGACACAAATACTGCTCGTCACAGCTGTGTTCCTGGAAGTGCAGGTACAACTCACTGCTCGAGGAGAACTGCATATCGCACTGCTCACACCAATAAAGGTGGTCATTGAAGTGAGTGTCTGCTATGTGCTGACTCAGATTCTCAAATATCACTGTTTTGTAGTCACAGTATTTACAGATGTACGGATCCTCCTCATGTAGTTTCACATGTTCAATGAGCTGCACTTTGCTGGAGAAGCTTTCTTTACAAACTTTACAGACATGAGTGTCTGCACATGTCTTGTGCTTCAGGATCATGTGCTGCTTTAAATCAGAAAAGTACTTGCTATTAAACTCACAGAGCTCACACTTGTATAAGCCACTGCTGTTGGCTCTCAGCAAAGGCCATTTCTGTTGAGCTGTGATATTCAAAGCCTGGTTCTTCTCAAAGATTTTGCAGGTTTCCAGAGGGATTTCCTCTAGGTCCTCAGCTTCCAGCTTCTCAGGTGACACAGTTTGTGTTTCTATATCATGAACTTCTACAGCATTCACTTCTGTTGTAGAAATTTCTACAGTTTGAATATCTAGAGGTTTCTCTTCTTCTGTAGGGCTGTCACTGAATATAGGTGAATCACATAAGTCTCTGCACATTCCATTATTAGTACCTTTATCTGCAGGAGGAAATAGGTAATAAAAGCAAAAGGTTAAAAAACCCCTGCAAAACACCTGGGACCATATTAAACTTTTCAGTTAGTTGTAGCAGCTTACAAATATAAAAAGCACTTAATTTTCCCCAGCCAGACTGTTTTATACTTAACTAACAAATAAATAACGTAAACTACAAATCCTTCACCTCTTCTGTCAAAGCAAAAAAGTTACATTAAAAGCCAGCAGCCATGCTCTCCAGCTTCCCAGCACTTAAGCTGCAAATACACATTGACCTTTACCTTTATCCTTCTTTTTAGGGTCTGCATAATGCAACCCCACAACGTTTGAATGTGAACTGCTCCACTGAGAAGTCCCAGCATGCACTGGACTCCCATCATCATCTGTGTCTAGGCTCTGCACAGGACTGTGGAATCTAGCTGCAAAGATAAAAGAAGGATTTTCTTGTCATCATTTGTCCATACTAGTATCATCGTGATTCTCCGATTTAACCATAGATCTTATTTACTATTTACTTATTCCAGTTGCATAAATTTATCTTTATGTACTAATCACATCATAACCTACATTAAAGAAAGTAACAATAAATACCTGACAGTAACAATAAATATCTGTATTTCCACAGATACAGAAGACAACAAAAGAATTCAAAAGGTGGCAACTCTGTCTTTAAAATTTCAGCAAAAAATAGTCAATTCATTATACTGGAAAAAAACTAAAACCCTTAAATAAAACTTTATATTTGAAAGACACAATTTTAAAAAATATTCTCAAATATTTCTGGACATCACATTTTAAAGTATAATACTTTCTAAGACTTCTAGAGACCTGCTGGCTAATTTATTAGAGTGAAAAAAAAAAAAATCCATCCCCACATTTGCTCTGCTAAACTTTACATCCACTAGTGGATGTTTTATAAAAAAGCATTTTGTTTTTCGTAAGTACAAGTACAGCTCAATGCAACTGCTGGTAAATTCCATTTGAAATCTTAGATTATTTACATCAGCTTTGTATTACCTAGCTAGCGGATGTTTAGATAAAGAAGTCTAATCATCTTTATGAATGTTGTAAAATTGAAAGATCTTTTTGTTATCATTGTTTCTACTTTGAAAATTGTATTTCGATTTTAACAATTAAACAACCTTCCACCAGTCTAAGGCATATCAGATCACAACAATGCTCAGAAGTCACCCACTCCTTATTTTGTATTCTATTTGCTTCTGTGAATAGGAGCATGACACACTTAGTAAAGAATTGCAGAACAAGATCCCAAAACGTAGTCTTACCTCTGTTTTCAGAAAACTTTATATCTGGCTGTTTCATAGAACAGACACTATAGCAGTGGTCAGAAAAAATTCCACTGTTGTCTATGTATTTGCTTGCACCTGAAGAATCTAAGACACACAAAAAAAAGTAAGTTTTAACACTAACGTACTGATGTTGCTACGGATGTATTTAACGTTCACCAAAATTCTCTTCACCAGCCACATTTTTACTTCTTGTGTTTGAAGAATTCTATGCTGGCCTGATAACATTCCTATTGTGATTTACAACTTTCAGCTGCTGCCCTGAAGTTTGGAGTATCAGATACAATCGTTAGCAAACTCTGCTCCCACTGAAGACAGCGACAGGAGAACAGTTCGTTCAGTGCTGAACACTTCTGCACACCCCCATCCCAACTTTTACAAAATTCCTCCCCTTGTGCGTTTGTAGAATCATCTTCATTTTGTAGCTTGAGCAAGTTTCCCCATCTGCAGGGAGTACAGAAGAAAACTATTCAGATGCATTGACTGAAAGTGGCTTAATAAAAGAGCACGCAGAGTTGGTACTCAATACATTCAGACAAGACTTCTTATCCCTCCCTTTTATGTGACTGATCTTCCACGTATTAGCACATATGGTCCCTTTTCATAAAACAATTATTCTGAGAAAAAATAAACTTACTAAAGCATACATAACTTAAGCTCTAGACTGACCTGAATATCGAGAAGGATGTAGAGTCTTCCTTTTCCTCTTTTTAGGATGTTCATTCATTTTGAATAATCTAAATTAATTGCAAAGTGAAAATATTCAAGAATTAAGACTTGTTTGTATCTAGTTTATCTTTCATGACTTCACGAAACAATACCAACATTTGAAAACCCACACATTAAATACAAGAGGTTTTTTCCTACTCCGCTTTCTTGCCCCCCAGCCCCTTCTGTTACAGTTAAGAACACATTAAATCCACAAAACTACTGAAGTCAAGTTTCGTATTCCTGCCCTGGAACAAAAGAAGGTTCACCATAAAGACAGACAGGTCAGGACTCCAGGCACTCAAGTACTCAGTGTAACCTGCGAGGCAGTTCTCCAGCACCCTATTGCCTTTTGTCAGAGACCAGATATTCTGTGGCAGTCCTTCAGGTAAAGTTTTAATGTTGAAAATACCAACAAAAGTCGTGCTCTCTTACCAAAAATCCTAGACTCTTCAGTATCAGCAAGAAGAGCAGCTAAGAAGCTGATGACTGTACAGCTTCCAAATGTAGCGAATACATCAGCTCGAGAAGATGTTCATCTATAGAGTGACAGCATTTTAAAACACTTTAAAACTTGAGCACAAAATAAAAAAATAATAATAATAAAAGAATCAGATACACAAGCGCTATAAAGAATGAAACTATGGAAATTGAAGCTAGAAAACAACATAAAAAGTTGGCATTAATTTTGGTTTAGAGTGTCAAAATTAATAAGGTAGATGCATTAGAGTATTTATTTTCCTTTTGTCCCACATCAGTTAGCTTTCGCTGCACTTGGCAGCTCCTGACAACAGAAAAATATGTGGAGACACCAAAAATACTTGAGCTATGCATTGGCCCAAAGAGTTGTGAAGAAGAAAGGGCTGCAAACATGGAATCTGATGTGGTTTACCGTAACACTAGGGCACTTCCAGGATCTTCTAAAGCCAATGCCACCCACCAGAGCTGAAAGCAGGGAAAAAAAGGCCCCTCATCAAGTAAAGGCTCTTCTCATGAGATGAAATAACTTGTCTGCATTAAAGTTTTATTTTAAGGGGAGCGTAACATGGGAATAACACGGGTTTTAGCATTACATCGTGGTCTAGACGTATCAGATGCCCTCATCGCTCTTTCTGACTGCGAGGGAAGAACCTACGTTACACTGAGACGGCAAGTTTTATCCCAGTCAACCTCTTCCCCGCGGACCGGCCCCCGGGCCAGTAACGCCCGTTCCTCTTCCCCAGCGGCTGTCCCGGTACGTCTCTCCCAGCTGCTCGGCGCGGTTACGGCAAAGCCTCATAAAGGCCCAAAAACTCGAGATCCCCGGCCCCCC